AATAATAATAATAATAATAATAATAATAATAATAATAATAATAATAATAATAATAATTTTATTTCTACAGTTACAAAGTATACAGGCCTAGCTGAGATCAGTGACCTATATAGAAAGCCCCTTGTTATGCAGAGCATTTCGACCAAATTAGGTCAGTTTTGTCCCAGGATGCGACCCACACCAATCGACTAACAGCCAGTACCAATTTTACTGATGGGTGAACAAGGACAACAGTTGTAAAGATATTTCCACACTTGCCGGAAATCGAACCATGGACCCTCAGTGTGTGAAGCGAGTTTTGCCTACCAGGTCACAGGCTGGGTTTGATTAGTACCTGACGTACTTGGCTAGCTTTGGGAAAAGCTGGACAAATACATCGGTGGTTTTGATAAAGATCTGCATTGTGAGGGCCATTATGCCTGCTGCAGTGTTCCTCCATTCTTATGTCTTAAAGACACACACACACCACACACACACACACAACACCCAAACCACACACACAACACACACACACACAACACACCACACACATGCACACACACACTCTCTCTCTCTGTCTCTCTCTCTTTCTCTTCCCCCTTTTCCCTTCTCAATCTCCCCCTCTCTCCTTCTACCTTTCCCTTCTCTCTCTTTCCCCTCTCTCTCTCACTCTCTCTCTCTTTTCCCTTCTCACTCTCCCTCTCTCTCTCTCTCTTCTTCTACCTTTATCTCTCTCTCTCTCTCTCTACACACACACTCAAAAAAGAAAAAATGGTGGGGACTAGCAGGAGCCAGGAATCAGATGAGAATGGCTCTGGTAGGGAGGAGTGGATGGAGGAGCAGTGGAAAAGAATGGAACAAGAGTGGGAGAGAAAATTAGGAGAGCTTTCTGAAAAAATGGAGAAAGAGCTCTCTGCAAAATTTGGAAAGAGGTTGGAGGAGACTAAGAATTGGGAGGCACAAGTTGAAACTGGAGTAGCCAGGATAAGGGTCCTAGAAGTTGAGGTAAACAGGCTGAAGCGAGTTACAGGGGCAGTGACCAGAGAAGACACAGCATATGAAGCTGAGAGGCCGAACAGAAAGAAAGGAGATATGAATTATGCTAAGGTCATATCAGCCTGCCAAGAAGAGTCAAGGAGTGAATGGGAAGAGCAGATGGGTGCAGATAGAGAGGGTGATAGGTCGAATGCAGAAGCACAACCATGCTACCAGGAGCCACTGGAAAAATCAAGGGAGAAAATGACCACATACAGACAGGATCCAGAGTCACAGAGGGAGAGGCAATGGGAGGAGGAAAGGGCAAAATCAGTGTTTATCCATGGGCTTCAGGAGAGAGAGAGGAAAGGGCACACACTGAAAGACAGGAGGAAGAAAGAAAGGAGATTGAGAAAATCATCACGGAAATAGGTGAAGAAGACATGGACGAGATTGTAAATTTTCAGAGAATAGGGGGGGGGGTACTTGAAGGGGAGAAAACGACCGATCAAGCTGATTCTCAGGACAGAAACAGTGCAGAACAGGATCCTCCAAGAGAAACCACGGTTGAAATACTCGGAAGAGTACAAGAGGGTGTTCCTAGACAGAGAGAGAACACAAACAGAATGACAGCAGCTGAGGGAGAGGACAAAAAAAGCGAAAGAAGCTAGGAAGGGAGACAAGGATGGAACCAGCAGAGGTCAGTCAGAGCTGAACAGAGCAGCAAGGGCAAGCACACACACAACTATCCTCAGAACCCCACAACCTTTCACACCATCCCAACACAAACTACAGTCCATACCCACAGCTTCCACCCAACACCCAGCTATAGAATCCCACAGTATGCTACCAGGTCTCCCACCCTCACAGGCCCCCCAAACCACAGTGTTGGAAAGGAAACTGAAGGTATGGTACACAAACGCTGATGGAATAACAAATAAGTGGGAGGAGTGGCACAAAAGAGTCAAAGAGGCATCACCGGACATCATAGCTCTCACAGAAACCAAGCTTACAGGTATGATAACAGATGCCATCTTTCCAACGGGATACCAGATCCTGAGGAAAGACAGAGGGAACTGGGGGGGTGGGGTGGAGGAGTGGCACTGCTGATCAAAAATCGATGGAATTTTGATGAGCTGGAGAGAGGAGACAGCGGAGAAGCAAGTGATTACATAGTGGGAACGCTTCACTCTGGAAGTCCCAAGGTGGTAATTGCAGTGATGTATAACCCACCACAGAACAGCAGGAGACCAGGGCATGAGTATGACGAGAGCAATAGAGCGATGGTTGACATACTGGCTGCAGTGGCCAGAAGAGCTCATGCATGCAGGGCAAAGCTCCTGATCATGGGTGACTTTAACCACAAGGAGATAGATTGGGAGAACTTGGAGCAACATGGGGGCCAAAATACATGGAGGGCTAAGATGATGGAGGTGGTACTGGAAAACTTCATGTACCAACACATAAGGGACACTACAAGAGAGAGAGAGGAGAGGATGAACCAGCAAGACATGACTTAGTATTCAGATAGTGCAGATATTGAGGATATCACATATGAAAGACCCTTTGGGGCCAGCGATCATGTGGTTTTAAGCTTCGAATACACAGTAGAGCTACAAGTGGAGAGGGAAGCAGGAAGGCCAGGACGAATGAAGCCAAACTACAAGAAAGGGGACTACACAGGAATAAGGAACTTCCTGAACGGAGTTCAGTGGGACAGAGAACTGGCAGGGAAGCCAGTTAATGAGATGATGGAATATGTAGCAACAATGTGCAAGGAGGCTGAGGAGAGGTTTGTACCCAAGGGTAACAGGAATAATAAAATAGTCAGGATGAGCCCATGGTTCACCCAAAGGTGCAGGGAGGCAAAAACCAAGTGCGCTAGGGAATGGAAGAAATATAGAAGGCAAAGGACCCAGGAGAATAAGGAGAGCAGTCCTAGATACAGAAACGAATGTGCACAGATAAGAAGGGAGGCCCAACGACAATTTGAAAATGACATAGCAGCGAAAGCCAAATCTGACCCAAAACTGTTATACAGCAACATCAGGAGGAAAACAACAGTCAAGGACCAGGTAATCAGGCTAAGGAAGGAAGGAGGAGAGACAATAAGAAATGACCGGGAGGTATGTGAGGAACTCAACTAGAGTTTCAAAGAAGTGTTCACAGAGGAGACAGAAGGGGTCTCCAGAAAGACGGAGAGGTGGGGCACACCACCAAGTGCTGAACACAGTACACACAACCGAGGAAGAAGTGAAGAGGCTTCTGAGTGAGCTAGGTACCTCAAAGGCAATGGGGCCAGATAACATCTCTCCATGAGTCCTGAGAGAGGGAGCAGAGGCGCTGTGTACCCCTAACAATAATATTCAATACATCTAATGAAACAGGGAGATTGCCTGAGGCATGGAAGACAGCAAATGTAGTTCCAATCTTTAAAAAATGAGACAGACATGAAGCACTAAACTACAGACCAGTGTCACTGACATGTATAGTATGCAAAGTCATGGAGAAGATTATCAGAAGAGTGGTGGAGCACCTAGAAAGGAATGATCTCATCAACAGCAGCCAACATGGTTTCAGGGACGGGAAATCCTGTGTCACAAACCTACTAGAGTTCTATGACATGGTGACAGCAGTAAGACAAGAGAGAGAGGGGTGGGTGGATTGCGTTTTCTTGGACTGCAAGAAGGCGTTTTACACAGTTCGACACAAGAGATTAGTGCAAAAACTAAAGGACCAAGCAGGGATAACAGGGAAGGCACTACAATGGATCAGGGAATACTTGTCAGGAAGACAGCAGTGAGTCATGGTACGTGGCGAGGTGTCAGAGTAGGCACCTGTGACCAGCAGCGTCCCACAGGGGTCAGTCCTAGAACCAGTGCTGTTTATGGTATTTGTGAACGACATGACGGAAGGAATAGACTCCGAAGTGTCCATGTTTGCAGATAACGTGAAGTTGATGAGAAGAATTCATTCTATCCAAAACCCTGCAGAACTACAAAGGGATCTGGACAGGCTGCAGACCTGGTCCAGCAATTGGCTCCTGGAGTTCAATCCCACCAAGCGCAAAGTCATGAAGATTGGGGAAGAGCAAAGAATACCGCAAACGGAGTACAGTCTAGGGGGCAAAGACTACAAACCTCACTCAAGGAAAAAGATCTTGGGGTGAGTATAACACCAGGCACATCGCCTGAAGTGCACATCAACCAAATAACTGCTGTAGATGAATGGTTCAAAGAACCGACATGTTGTTAAATTAGACACATGTGCAACTCTTGGGTATCCTCCTGTTCTTCAAGTTTATCCTTTGTATGGACTGATGAAGCCACTGTGTGGCGAAACGTTTCCTCAAAAAAGATACCCAAGTGTTGCACATTTGTCTAATTTAACAAGTAACTGCTGCAGCACATGGGCGCTTAGCAAACCTCAGAACAGCATTCCGACATCTTAATAAGGAATCGTTCAGTACCCTGTACACCGTGTACGTTAGGCCCATATTGGAGTATGCGGCACCAGTTTGGAACCCACACCTAACCAAGCACGTAAAGAAACTAGAGAAAGTACAAAGGTTTGCAACAAGACTAGTCCCAGAGCAAAGAGATATGTCCTACTAGGAGAGGTTAAGGGAAATCAACCTGACGACAATGGAGGACAGGAGGGATAGGGGGGACATGATAACGACATACAAAATACTGAGAGGAATTGACAAAGTGGACAAAGACAGGATGTTCCAGAGATTGGACACAACAACAAGGGGACACAGTTGGAAGTTGAAGACACAGATGAATCACAGGAATGTTAGGAAGTATTTCTTCAGCCACAGAGTAGTCAGGAAGTGGAATAGTTTGGGAAGCGATGTAGTGGAGGCAGGATCCATACATAGCTTTAAGCAGAGGTATGATAAAGCTCACGGTTCAGGGAGAGTGACCTAGTAGCGACCAGTGAAGAGGAGGGTCAGGAGCTTGGATTCGACCCCTACAACCTCAACTAGGTGAGTACACACACACAAACTCCCGCACATACTGACCTCTGACCTTCATCCTCAGCACAATCTCTTCCGGAGTCAACTCACAAGCAGCAGTGACCTGGGAAGATGCCTTCTCCAACATCCCCATGTTCGCTAAACTCACCAGCACCAGACAAGCCTTATTTACCAAGTTCCTGGGTAAGTTAGCCATAACTACAGTCATTTCCAAAAGCATATGATATAGTCTTTAGTATATATTAATATTACTGTAACCACGAACGAGCAGTATTTAATCAATAACAACACTGCGACTAGCCGAGGACTGGAACCCGTGTCGTTTTGGACCCGTTTTGAACCCATGTCAATTTTCTCTCGCCATGAGGCGGGCCCAAACGACATGGGTTCGAATCCTCGGCTAGTCGTCGATTTGTGTGTATATATATATATATATATATATATATATATATATATATATATATTATATATATATATATATATATATATATATATATATATATATATATATATATATATATATATATATATATATATATAATATATATATATATATATATATATATATGTCGTGCCGAATAGGCAGAACTTGCGATCATGGCTTAAATAGCAACGCTCATCTTGCCATATAGGACAAGTGAAAATTTGTGTATGCAATAATTTCGCCAAAATCATTCTGAACCTGACGAAAAAAATATATTTCACTGTGTTTGGTTAGTATTAAATTACTGTAAGCAAATCTAAAATACATTTAGTTGGGTTAGGCTAAAATAAATTGTTCTTGTTATAATAAGGTTAGGTAAGTTTTCTAAGATTCTTCTGGTGCAAAATTATAATTTTTTACATTAACATCAATGAAAAAAATATATCTTAATTAACTCATCTTTGCCTTTTAGTAGAAGATGAATTAATTAAACAATTTACTTCCACTAATCCATCTTTACCTTACATGTATGGACTAATAAAAACACACAAACCAGGGAATCCAGTCAGACCAATTATTAGCTCCATAGGATCAGTTTCGTATAAATTATCCAAATGGCTTGTTGACATTTTGAGCCCTATTGTTGGTAAAATTTCTAACTTTAATGTTAAAAACAACATAGATTTAGTTGATAAATTAAGCTCCTTGACTGACTTAAATGATTTTAACATGGTTAGTTTTGATGTTACTTCCTTGTTTACGAAAGTTCCTGTTGATGATTTATTAAGTTTCTTATCTGAAGAACTCGTTAATTATGATTTACCATTACCAGTTCCTACTATCATTAAACTTATTAAACTTTGCATTGTTGATGCAAAATTTGTATTTAATGATAAATTTTACACTCAGAAATTTGGTATGGCAATGGGGAATCCTCTTTCACCTGTTCTTAGTAATCTATACATGGAATTTTTTGAAACAAGGTTGCTTAACACAATCCTCCCTAATAGAGCAAAATGGTTCAGATATGTCGATGATATTTTATGTCTTATGCCCAAGAATGCAGATATACACCATTTCTATAAACTTTACTGTTGAGTTTGAGGAAAATAACTCATTGCCTTTTCTAGATGTTTTAATTATTAAGAGTAACAATGAATTCAAATTTAAAATTTACAGAAAACCTACAAATAACTGTTCCTATGTACACTATTATTCTTCCCATCAAGATAAAGTTAAACTGTCTGTTTTCTCATCAATGTTTTTGAGAGCTTTACGTATTTGTAGTCCAGAGTTCATAGATGAAGAAATATCCAAAATTTATGAAATAGCCATTGATCTGAAATACCCGAAAAATGTAATTGATAAATCATTTAAAATTGTTAGAATTACTTTTTACAACCCAAAAAGGGACAACCAATCTTATTAACTACAAATATGTTGGTTCTCCCTTACCATGAAAACTTGGTTGATATGCCGTCTCTTCTTAAGACTTTTAATAATAAAGTTATATTTAAAAATCTTGATACAGTAAAAAAAACTTTTGATAAAGAATTCCACCCAAAATGCTGACGGATGTGTCTATAAGATTCCTTGTAAAATTTGCGATAAAGTTTATTACGGTCAAACTGGTAAAAGTCTCGAACTTAGATTAAAACAACATAAATATAGCATTAGAACTGGACAAGATTCCAATGCTCTATTTATTCATGTGAGACATTTTAACCATCCAATTGATTTTCAAAAAGTTGAGAAAGTTGTATCAAGCAAGTCCATGGTTGACAGAAATATAATTGAATCTTGTTTCATAAAAAGCAGTTTTGAAAATAATATGAATATTTCCTTAGGTTTGTATAAATTAGATTCATTTATAATTAATAAAATTTGGTTAGAGTTTAATAATACATTGGACAAATAATAAACCTTATTTCTTGGGTAGAATGATTTGTTAGTGGGTTGTCGTGAGGACCTGTCTAGTTGGACCAGCGGACCTACTGCAGTGTTCCTCTTTTCTTATGAGTCCGGTATTGTCCCGCGTCAGGTGTTTCTTTGTTGTGGGAGTTGACTGTGAGGTGTGGTCTAAGCCCTTTTATTGCCTTCCTTTGATGTATTACTTTCATAGTTCCTTGACAATGTGAGTAGTCACGAAAGCGCTTGGAATTTCACTACTCTTTCAATGTAGTTGTTTTGCATAATTTAAAATCACCTGTTTACTGTGATCTTATTGCATATAATATATATATATATATATATAATATTATATATATAATAATATATATATATATATATATATATATATAATATATATATATATATATATTATATATATATATATATATATATATATATATATATATATATATATATATATATATATATGTCGTGCCGAATATGTAAAACTTGTCAATTAGCAAGAACTCATTTAAAATTAAGTCTTTTGTAGAATTTTCTCTTATACGTTTAAAGATATATTTTTTTCATTAATGTTAATGTAAATTTTTTTAGTTTTGCTCCAAAAGAATCTTAGAAAACTTACCTAACCTTATTATAACAAGAACAATTTATTTTAGCCTAACCCAACTAAATATGTTTTAGATTTTCTTACAATAATTTAATACTAAACAAACATAGTGAAATATATTTTTTTCGTTAGGTTCAGAATGATTTTGGCGAAATTATTGCATACACAAATTTTCACTTGTCTTATATGGCAATATGAGAGTTGCTATTTAGACCAAGATCGCAAGTTCTGCCTATTCGGCACGACATATTAATATATATATATATATATATATATATATATAATATATATATATATTATATATATATATATATATATATTATATATATATATATATATATATATATATATATATATATATATATATATATATGTATATATATTAATATATATATATATATATATATATTATATATATATATATATATATATATATATATATATAATATATATATATATATATATATATATATATATATATATATATATATATATATATTATATATATATATAATATATAATATTCATGTTTTCTGTACCTGTTCTATTGTACATGAAGTTTTTAAATAAAATATATATAAAAAAACGTTCTTTTTGAATAAAATCATAAGATACACTTACTAGTTGACAACTGTTTGGGGTTACCTCTATATTGGTATAGTATGTTTGAAACTTATCAGAGTCTGTGTTAAGGGTATTAGATGCAGCTGGTAGTTTACTTAATAGTGTTGATGCAACAGATGTGTAGTAGGAATTAAAGCAATTTGCCACCTTAGATGTTTCGTGACATACCTCATCATCGATAGTGAGTACTATGTTAGACCTATCTACTGGCTTATGGCTATATCCCAACTGTTTTAGTTGTTGCCAGAGCTTTCTGGGGTTATGCTTATACTCTTCAATTTTTGAGCAATAGTGCTTTGCCTTTGCTCCTTTTATAAGCCTCTGTACTCTTTTCCTCACCCTTTGGAATTCATTTAGTGCTGTAATATCCTGTCTGTTTGTTTTAAATCTTTTGTGGAAAATACTGTATATTTTCAGAAAATACAGCGTTTTTGTATGTAAATTGATGGAATATATTGTAGTCAATAAAAATTAATTTGTAAATATATAAAGAACCAGTGAGAATTGGTGAGGGTCGCTGGGGAAGGAGACGCCATTGTTTTGAATTGACCGAGACAAACGTTAGTGAAAATTGGAAGAATTTTCGTCGCTCTAGAAGGTATATTGGGCTTAAAACCTCTCAAATAGCAGCCGAAATTGTTGGAACTGCAGTCCTGCAGAACGTGAGAATTAGGTGACTGGACAGGACTCTGTAATTAGATGGAAACAGGATATTACCACAGCTGAGTTGATGTCTATTTATGTTGAAATTCTGGCCAGTATTTTCTTCATATTTTAGGCAGGGGGTTTGTGTATAACACACCGTAATCTCCAGACTAATTGGTGAGTGGTATTAAGATAAATTCTCCTTCAATGTATATGTATTCATTTTTTAAATTTAATATACAGTCCACATATTTATATTAATGTTTTACCAGAATTCCTGGTGATGTATACTTCATTTGAAATTAATATAGGTCCAGAGTGACTTGTGGAGATATAGATTGTAGTAGGTATCGATGGGGGACATTTTTTTGCAACCTAGGTGTCCTAAAATTCCTACTTGTCTCTGTAACCTTGATCAAGAATAATTATCTTCGTTACCATTTACTGGTATGTACCTAATGAGATTCATCCAGGTAAATTTAATTTTCCACATCTTTTTAGCAGCTGGTCTCTGAATTTCATATTATGTAATATCTCAGTAGTCATCCAGGGTTCAGTTCTTCGTTTAATCCTAACCTCTTTAACTGGTGCAATATTATCAAGGATGGTAGTGAACATTGTTTTGAATTTTTCCCAGGCATCGTTTACGTCCGTGCAACTTGTTATCTCTGACCAGTCACAATTGTGTAGCCTATTTACCAGTGTTTCTTTACTGTAGTTTCTAGTTAACCTCATTTTTATTGTCCTGTGTAGGCCTATCCTATCCCTAGTGATTTTCCTGGTGCAGTAAATGATGAAATGATCACTAAGGCCTGTGGTAATGACGCCTGACTGACTAATGCTCTCAGAGCGGTTACAAAGTATGTGGTCAATTAGGGTGGCTGAGAACTGTGTGATCCGGGTTGGTGTATTAATTAGTTGAGTGTAACTATTTAAACCTAGAATTTGCTTATACCTTTTGCATAGCTC